GGTCTCTGGCACATGACTCCTCCACTCAGCTTCTCTATCTCCTTACCCAGTTTCTGAGTTGGTTCAGCCATGAACCAGTATTAACTGGTCAGAGCACGGGAAATGATGTCATAGCCACAGACCACAACAAAGAACAAGGAGGAAACACTCCTTCTTTACTGCACCTGTGAAAATGCAGGGTGTCAGCTCATAGCCTGCTGCGGGGCTGCGTTGTCCTGGAAAAGGGGGGAAACAGATGGCAATTTAATAGGAACCTGATAGCATTGTTCTGGGTTGGACAAGGGGGTAGCCTCTGGGGAACTAGGAAAGAGGCTCTCAGCTATGGGGCGTAACAGCTTGGAGAAGGGGCTTGCCGTGGCCACTTCCTCCCTCCTCCTCTGCCCTGGGGGGGTCAGAGGGGGTGGGAGTGCATAGACCTCTGTTGTTTGCCTGCTGTGTGTGTGGTGTGTGTGCACATATGTGCGCACGCATGTCCATCTGTGTATGTACTTGTGTGTGTGCGCGCATGCGCATCTCTGTGTGCACGTGCTTGTGTGTGCATGTGTGTGTATGCATGTGTGTGCATGCCCATCTGTGTGTGTGCATCTCTGTGTGTGTACATGCGTGTGTGTGTGTGTGTGTGTGTTGGGAGAAGGGCCAGGATGGCGAAAGCCAACTACAGGAATGGCACTGGGGCAGGAATGTCTATGATGGGGAAACACGTGTAACCAGTAATGTTCATTCCTCCCGCCTTCCTTTTCCCTTGTTTTGTGCCGGCTGTGTGGCGTGAACTTGAATGGCCCTTATCTGAATAGACACAGGTGATGAATGCTGCTGTGCATGGCTCCTCTTAGGAGTGGTGGGGAAGCGTAGTTTAAAAACCAGAAATCTGGGGCGCCTCGGTGGCTCAGTTGGTTAAGCGACTGCCTTCGGCTCAGGTCATGATCCTGGAGTCCTGGGATCGAGTCCCACATCGGGCTCCCTGCTTGGCGGGGAGTCTGCTTCTCCCTCTGACCCTCCTCCCTCTCATGCTCTCTGTCTCTCATTCTCTCTCTCTCAAATAAATAAATAAAATCTTTAAAAAAAAAAAAAAAAAAAAAACAGAAATCTGGGCTCTGCCACTAACCAGCTGAACAGTCCCTTAAGCTCCCTGGGATTCTTATTCCTTCAGAGACGCCAAATTCCTTCTTCACTTCAGATCTATCCAGTGCCTTCTCCTCTGCAGGAACAGGGCTGCGGGTTGCCATCAGGGGTTAAAGGATGAGCATGGCACAGCCCTTGGCCCTTCATCAGCACCTGTTTCCATTTACTGCCACGGGCTCTGCAATGCTGGCCTCTGGTTAGCAGCTGAGTATCACACAAGGAATCAGAGTTAAGGTTGTTTGGGGATCAAGGGAAACAGAGGTTTGAATGGCTCTGAGGTCTGCATGGTACTTCTTCGGAATTTGCTTAGTCCAGAAGGGAGCATGATTCTGAAACTTGGAGTTACAGTGTTTTTCTAGCTGGTGCCACTCCCTGAAATCCTGCAACCTCAGACACCCACACAGGGTTCAGACAACACACTCGCTCTCCACTTCTCCCTGGATGCCACGGACATGCTACTCGTTCCTGACACTGGGCACCCCGGAGTCCCATCTTCTTACCTTTCCTCTCCTCATCACGTGTTCTCCACTGGGTCACCACTTGCCTCCCCATGTTACCCAAAGACCAATGGTCCCCAACCCATCTTCTCTGGTCTGCTGCCCTGCAGGCTGTCTGGCCACTCACATCTCCACTCTGATGTCCCACAGGCATGTACACCCACCATGTCCCATCTGCACTCCCCATTCTCCCTCCCAACTGCTCTCTTTCTCCGGGGTCCCTTATCTGGGGATGAGTAGCCTCACCTCGGCACCCTGGGAGGCCTCCTGGACCCGTCCCTGCCACTTTCTGCCCATAGCCAACCAACATGCCGTTCATTGACTTTGACTTTCTATCTATCGCTCCTGTCCATGTTTTCCTCAAAGCACTGCCTCCTTTTTCAAGTCAACTTCTCCGGGGTTCTGTTCCCATCAGAAAAACCCCAAACCCTTTGGGGTGACCCGCGAGGTCTGGCTGCCTTTCTAGCCTCTTGCCACCTTCCCCCCTCTCTGTCCCCATCCTCCAGCCGTCTTGAACTGCTTGCCCTTTGGCCAGCGGGTCACTGTTGGTCACGATCCCTACACTCTTCTCCAGGAATAGCCTGTCCCCATCAGCTTCCTCTCCTTGGAACCCCTCCCCCTCCCCCAACCGAGTCTCCTCAGCTGCCTGGCTCCTTCCTTCCAGAAGCATCTCCTCCTCTCCCTGGAGGCTGATGCCATTAGGTTAGGTGCTCCTCCAAAGTGCGACCCGGTGATGCTCTCTTCTCTGCTCCTGGCACAGTGCCTGGCTCTCAATATGTGGGATAAATAAACACGTTTTCTAAGTTAAAGAGAGAAAGAAACTTTCTCAAAGCTTTCTCGGAGTGGCAGTGGGGTGTCAGAGTTTTAATGCATCCCATATATTTATGCGGCTTACAGCAGCTACAAATCCCGGTGGCTGTCCCTGGGCTCCAACAAGTCCTCATAACTAGCTGATTTCTTACCTTTCCTGGCACTACCTGTCACCAGTTCCTCCACTTTGCCAGGAGGAGTTAACCACCTGGCTGCCGTCCAGGGGCTGGTGACTGACAGATACCCGGGCTTCTTTGCCAAGTTTAAGAAAAGTAAGGCAGAGAGCCGAGTGTCAGCTGTCCAGGTACTGGGAGTCAAAGCTGATGATTTCCCCTCGTATATTCATCTGTGCCTTCCGCAGAGGCAGTCTGCAAAAAGAAAGAGCACAGTGGAATAGAGCCGAACAGAGAATCTGGCCATTACGGTGGGTGGCGGGCAGTGAGGAGGAGGGAGGCAGTTACTCTGAGGGTCAGTATTTCAGGTTGTTCCCAGAAAAATAATTGCAAAGGCAACCAGTCAGAAAGGAGACTCATGGTACCCCCTCCCACTCCCACACCTGTATTTCTTGGCACTTTGGCTGCCTTCAGATTAATGAAATCTTTCAGTCCTGACAGAAATGACCACCTCAAGAGGGAAAAAGTATGTTTTCGCACTGGATAAAAGATTAAAACAACACGAAGAAGCAAACCCGTTCCTATATATGGGCTTCAATACTTGCCTTGTGCAAAATGTTGTGAGTTAATATCTTTGTCTCATGGGTATGTTTTTCCTCCTTGAATCTTTAGAGTTATTTCCAGAATTGCAAAGGATATTTCAAAAACCATGTCTGAAGTCTAAAGTGCCGAGTGCAGTCAGTTCCCTGAGTGGAAGGACAGAGAAAAGGGGAGGGTGTCCTACTGAGAGATGAGAAATTTATTGCCTGCAAATGCTACTGTGTAATGTGAATTAAGAGTTGTTATTTTGGGGGCACCTGGGTGGCTCAGTTGGTTAAGCGACTGCCTTCGGCTCAGGTCATGATCCTGGAGTCCCTGGATCGAGTCCCGCATCGGGCTCCCTGCTCGGCAGGGAGTCTGCTTCTCCCTCTGACCCTCCTCCCTCTCATGCTCTCTGTCTCTCATTCTCTCTGTCTCAAATAAATAAATAAAATCTTAAAAAAAAAAAGAGTTGTTATTTTTTTTTAAAGATTGAGCACTATAATGCCTTAAAAAAAACCAAACTAATGATTTTTGGAAAGTGGAAGGCAAATGAATTTAATTACTATGATAATTAAAAAACAATTCATTTGTTATCAACTATATTTATATATTTTTCCAATGCAAAAAGTATAGGATTTATGAACCTCGAATGATTGGAAGTGTAGGTTTGATTTAGAAAAGGAATCTGAATAGAAATGATTCCTTTTCATAGATAACAATATTTGACTTCAAATTTGGTTATTAAACTTTTAAGGGAATCTGCCTACATAAAGCAGAAGTTAAGGTAAGTTATATTTAAAATCACAAAAGTGCTTTCTAAATTATAAAAGATTGTCACAACATGTTCCATTTATAAGCGTTCATAAGTAGCTTATTTTAAGAATTCTGTTTAGAAAAATGTGCTTGTCCACACCTTTTCAGGAGCACAGCTCTCCGAATAGCAAATGATTTTCAAAAGGATACTCAGAACACATTAGGGTGGGTGTTATGTTTAGAGCTTGAATATTCTTATTGAAGATTATTCATTTTAAGATTCAACAGCACGCCGAGTCTCTAGGATAAATACATGTCCTCAACGAGAATTTACTTTGGTGTCCTTTCCCTATCCTAAGGAAGAAAATCCAGACTTCCAGGTCCTTGAGAGGCACCTCATCTTTACTTCTCTGGGGCACCTCTCAGTTCCTGGGTGCAAATCTTCCCTCAGCCACTTTTTCGCTGTGAGACCTTAGGCAAGTTACTTAGCTTTTCTGTTACTTAGCCCTAGGTCATTCATCAGTCATCTGGGGATAAATAGTCTTTTCTTCATAGGTTTGTTGCAGGATTAAATTTATGTAAAGTTTTAGAACTTTAGAGCTGCCTAGTAGATCCTTAATAGATCTAAGAAATCATACTGTCCCTATTGGGAAGCTCTCACTCTTCCTATAGAATCAGCATGAATAAAGGGGGACTTTTTTTCTGCAACATCTTTTTAAAATTTTTTTGCAACATTTCAGTACATACACTCAGTCTTTGCATCAGAGCAAATCATTTTCAGTGAACACTCAGTATTATTTAGATACGGTATCTTCTCTCCAATGCCCTAGCATCAGTTGTCCGGTAACAAAATAAAAAGACAAAGGGGGAAAAAATCCTGGCAAGGGGACAAGTTTCGAGAATTGTTTGAAAGCAGTCATTGTATTCAGGTGGCCTGGCAGGCTACTGTAAACAGGGTGAGATGTAAGGAGGAAATCAGAACCCATTGTGGGCCCATAAAATGGATGTCTTTTCAACTAAACAGATTGCTATCAGCCTAACAGAGCCGACTCATGTTCCTCTTTGCCTGGTCATTTCCTTTACTGAGTATCCGTAAGAACCACCCACTTGGGTGTTTCTCAGGATTATAGGTTTTTAGGTCAAAAAAGAAACCCGGGGGAGTGCCTGGACAAGCCCAAGGCGCAGTTACATTGTGCACGAGCTGGATGACATTGACCCCAAGGCTGTTGTGCCCCAGTTTGTGTGGATGGTCAGGCTGTGTGGCTGCCGGTAGCTAGGGGCCCAGGTTAGGAGCTTTGCTCTGAAGTGGCTGCAGGTTTCCTGGTGGGCTGAAGACTCCACGGGAGAACCGCCCGCTTCTTCCTTCACTGCAGAAGCTTGACCGGTGGACCCTCCGCGCCTGCTTCCTTTGTCCTCCTCGGGCAGTCCGGAATGGACGGGACACCAGAGCCTCTGGCCATGACCGTCCACCTGCTCGCCAACTCTGGGCATGGCTCGCTTCTGCAGCAAACTCTGGATCAGCTCCTGGACTGCATTTGCCCAGACGTGCGTCCCTTTCTGGTGTCAGAGCGGGTCAGTCCAGTGAAATACTATGACAAGTGCCACTGCAAGCGCTCACGGTTCCCGGGGATGTCTGTGTTGCTCTTCCTGCACGAGAGCCTGGGAGAGGAGCGGCTCTTTCGGGTTCTTGACTCCCTCCAGCGCTGGCCATGGCACTGCTACCCCGCCCCGAGCGCTCAGGGGGGGCCGTGTCCCTACGTCCTTGCCAACCAGGAGTTCTACAGTGTGGACAGCCAGATGCCCGTCTGGGGTGTGAGGCAGGTGCACTGTGGCTCCGAGGTCCTGAGGGTGACACTCTACTGCAGTTTTGATAACTACGAGGATGCCATCAGACTCTATGAGTTGATCCTGCAGAAGGAAGCCACCGTGCAGAAAAGCAACTTCTGTGTCTTCGTGCTCCATGCCACTGAGAGCTTCGCTCTGCAGCTCTCCCTGGTGCAGCTGCCCCTTGGAATGTCAGTGGACCCCAAAGAATCTTCTGTGCTGCAGTTCAAGGTTCAAGAGATAGGCCAGTTAGTACCTCTCCTACCCCATCCGTGCGTCCCCATCAGCCGCACCAGGTGGCAGACACAGGACTACGATGGCAATAAGATCCTGCTTCAGGTATTCCGGTTTTGCCTCTGATCTTTGTAGACACACATGGAACTGTGTGATTTTACCTCTGCGATGGGCCTTCGTGACGATTTAATGCAGTGGTTCTCAGCCTTGCTTGCACATCAGAATCCCTGGGGAGCTTGCAAAAATTCCCATGCCACGCTTGCACCCCGGGCCAGTTAGGCCAGCATCTCCAGGGGTGCCTTGGATGACTCAAATAAGTAGTGTCAGGTTCGAGAGTCACTGACCTAATAAAATCCCCTCATCTGACAGATAATGGAGTTCATGCTCCATGAGCTTGTAGCTTATGCAAGTGGTTTGAGGTAGAATCCGACGACACCCCATTTCTCAGATTGTCCTTTAAAACTGTATGCAAATACTTTGCCCACACTTTGGGGTTTGGGAATAGTTAAGCTCTTTCCATCTGACCTAAGGAAGCTGAAGTTGTAATTATGGTTGGGATTGTTAATTTTGTAGTCCTGTTGACTTCATTTTTTTTTTTTCCTGTTGACTTAATGTGTAAGCAGCTTGGATCACTGTCAATTTTTCCCCAAATCAAGTTAGATGGTTAGAATGCCTTTAAAAAAGAAAACCTGGATATGAAAGCCTTCTTTTGTAAGCATCCCATTTAAGCCACGCTCAATCATGATCACTACCGTAATGTGTCGTCTCCCGTGGAGTGTTCTGTGGCTGTTGAGCCTTGTACCCAGTAGCTGCCTGGTTAGCCTTGATTCCTTCATTAGCACAATGGAGGTAATATTAACATCTTCCTAAAGTGTGGGTTGTTATCCACACGAGATGATGTCATGCTTCAAGTGCTTAAGACAGTGCCCAGAATGCAATTTTAGCTATTATTATCTGTTATGGCCTAGACTAAGTGTTATTACATTGATTACTTTATTTAATTCTTACAACAACCTAGGAAGTTTCTGTGGCTTTTACTTAACTCAGCAATTACCAAGGCATCTAAAGTTTCTCCTTCAGCCTTGGTTAATCTCCCACATTTAAAATCAACCTCACTGTCAAACAAACATTGAGTATGTGTGTGCAGCAGGGGGCACATTTTTAACTGTTCCTATTTTTAAGATCAACCCGACCAACTTGGATCAGATGCTCTTCTCTAAACCAATTGCTGCATCCAAGGGAATGGGATTCGTGTGGGTTGGTGTAGTTCTGAGGCAGAGGCTCTGCTCTCCACACTTGGATTGTCTGTGGAGTCAGACCCTCCTGGGACTCCCAGGGGAGAGTAAGGACCCCCAGTGAAGATCAGTAGGGAAACAAATGCGGGGTGGCCCAGATGACGGATGTTGACCAAAAGAAAGAAAATAATACCTATTCAAGGGAAAACCGTAACCACCAATTAACCTCTCCACAAATAACCTTTCCTCAGGGCTGGAACGGACACACGTGTGGGCGTGCTAGACATGGTGAGGGCGCGCGATGGACAAAGCTTCCTGAGGAGCGATACCTGGGCCTGCTGAGGCTGGACAGCCCAGAAGGAAGTAGCCAGATGGAGAAGGGAGGAAGGTGTTCCAAAGAGGAGAGACAGTGGGTGACCTTGTGTGGTGTGACATTCTCTTAGCGGGGCATGTTCAGAAAACTGCCTGAGGTTCCATGTGGCTGGGGTGGAAAGAGGGGGTCAGGGGAAGAAGAGGAGCAGGTGGGTGGAGACCACATCATCAGGAATATGGTCAGTCACTGGAAGGTAAGCACCATGAGGGCAGGCAGCTCTTTCCCCACTTTTGTATTCCCGGTCCCTAGAACAGTGTCTGGCTCATGGGAGTCAAATACATTCTTGGTGAATGAACCAGACCCTTGCTAAGAGCTTCTGTTTTATCCTTACTGATATCAGCAGTCACTGATGGGGCCTGTGAGTGGTACTTACATGTATAATTTGTTATGAGGCTCAAAAAAGAGAATATAAATGAGGTGCTCTGTAAAGTAGAAGCTGTAGGAGATCACGCAGAAGCAATGTGATTATTGTCTACGTAAGAAGCCACTGGCTGTCTCGCCAGATGCACACAGCGAACAGTTCCTTCCCCACATGACCTCCTGTCCATGCAGACAGTCTGATGCTTCTCAGAGTCTCAGAGTTTTGAGTAAGAAAACCCATAATGGAAGTGTGAGGTTAAATATGAACTATAGTTCGGGGGTAGACTTAACAGATTTGGAAATGAATTAGATGTAGGGGTCAAAAAGAGGGAGGTGATGATAAGTCTGGACACATTGGGTTTGAGATGCTTGCAGGTCATTTGGGTGAAGATACTCCCAATCAGGTGGCCTCTGAGAGCTGGAGCTTGGACTAGGGACATAGGCTGGGGTGATGGTTGAAGCCCTGGGAAGAAGTGTTGTTATCAAGGAAGAGAGCATAGAAAGAGAAGAGATGAAGGCAGAACCTACAAAATGTCCACACTCCAGGAGTGGGGAAAGAGAAGAAGAATGAGTGCAGCAATGGGAGAAGGAGCAGCCAGAAAACAGGTGAAGATCATGATGTCATGACCAGTAATGCACTTGGTGGCATGCCATAGTCCCTAAGATGCGATTTCTCAGGTACGCTAGAACACGCCCCTAAGGCTCTTTCACCCTGCTCTCCTCACCAGGCCATTGGTCTCTGGTGGTGTTGCCAGTAACTCCCAGGAGATTGGCTAATGCTGCGGGCCAGCTCGCCTTCACTGGTAACCACGGCCACCACCCTGCACTTATGGGCATGTCCTTGCCAACGTCTCCACAACGCTACCGAAACCAGGCTGTAATTTTCAGCAAGATCTTTCTGAAAATTTGAGGATAAAGGGGAAAACAAGAAAACGTTCTTTACAGGGAGGATAACTTATAAGACTTCTGGGTCTGGGTGTCACCATTCAGAGCTCCTTGGCCGGGACGTGACCTTGAGATCCTTCCCCAGGTCTCCTCCTTGTGTTCTCCACACCCGTCACCAGGAGGTGCTCCAGGCCAAGGATACAGCAAGAACGGGGAGGTTCTCTCTTAGCCCCTTGAGGGTCCACCTTCCAGGTCTTTCTTGACAAGGGTTGACTGCTTCCCAAGATGAATGAAATGGGAAAGTTCACACGCATCTCCGCCTCCTGTCCCACAGTGGTGGTGTTTTGTTCATAGACCTGGACGGGGGGCTCAGTTGCACTGATATATGAACCCAACATCAGTACAACCCAGGATACTGAGTCTCAACAACAGACTCTGGTCATCAGCCATCCTTTCTGGCAGCTCTTCCCAGTTTATTCTGCTGAATGCGCTGGAACTCATGCCTGCATACCCTTCCTCCAGTCTGCGGGCTCACCTCTGAATCCTTTACAATTAGTACTTGAGTTAGAATCCACACAGCTCTCCAAGAACCAGCTTTTGATTTCATTGATTTGATTTCATTGATTTTCTCTACTGATTTCCTATTTTCAATTTCCTTGATTTCTGCTCTAATTCTGATTATCTTTTCTTCTGCTTACTTCAGATTTTTTAAAAAGATTTTATTTCTTTATTTGAGAGAGAGAGACTGCGCATGTGAGTGCGGGGAGGAGCAGAGAGAGGGACAAGCAGACTCTGAGCTGAGTGGAGAGCCTGACGCGGGGCTCGATCTCATGACCCTCATATCATGACCTGAGCCTAAATCAAGAGTCCGATGCTCAACTGACTAAGCCACCCAGGTGCCCCACTCTTGTCTTTTTTTTTTTTTTTTTCCTGATGTCTTTTAGGATTTGTTCTTTATCTTCGATTTTTGTAGTTTGGAAAACGATGTGTCTAGGTGAAGCTTTTGCAGAATTTTTGTGCTTGGTGTTCTCTGAGCTTCCTGGATTTGTGGTTTGGTTTCTGACATTAATTTGGGGAACATTTTCAGTCATTGTTATTTCAAATATTTCTTCTGTTCTTTTCTCTCTTTCTTGCCTTCTGGTCTGCCTACTATGCATCTGTTACACTTTTGGTAGCTGTCTCACAGTCCTTGGATATTCTGTTCTAGTTTTTTGTCTTTGTTCTCTTCAATTTTTAATTTTGAAATTTTCTTCTGAGGTGCTCTCAAGCTCAGGATTCTTTCCTCAGCTATGTCCAGTCTACTAGTAAGCCCATCAAAGGCATTCTTGATTTCTATTACAGCATGTGTTTTTTTTTAAATCTCTAGTGTTTCTTTCTGTTCTTCCTTAGTGTTTCTATCTCTGTTAATATTGCCCATCTGTTCTTGCATGCTGTTTACTTTATCCATTAGAGCTCTTAGTGCATTAATCATAGCTATTTCAAATTCCTGGCATGATAATTCCAACAACTCGGCCATGCCTGGTTCTGATGCTTACTCTGTCTCTTCAAATTGTGTTTTTTTACCTTTTAGTATGCCTTGTGTTTTGTTTTGTTTTTGTTTTTGTTAGCTAGACATGATGTAGCATGTTAAAGGAACTGCTGAAAATAGGCCTTTTGTAATGTGGTGGTGAGGAGTTGGGGAAGGGGAAGCATTATATGATTAGATTGCACACAGTCTTTTAGTGAGTCTATGCCTAGGACTGTGAATTCACAAGTATTTTTAATTTTTTTCTCCCTCCTTTGGCAGGAGAGGATGGCTAGAATGGGCTGGAATTGAATATTTCCCTTCCCCAGGTCAGTCAGGCTCAGGTGAGCTTCTGCTTAACTAGTTTTCTCTGAGAGCAGGCCTTTTAATAACACAGTTTTCTAGCATGTTTAAAAGTGGTGCTTTTTCTCCTTCCCTTCCAGAAGCACAAAGAGATTTATCTCCGATATTTATTGTGAGCATCTGGTCAAGCTCCTGGAGGGAAATCTCACAAGCTGGCGGGGCCCCTCTATGACTGGGTCCCCCTGGAGTTTTTAACCCTCAGAGTTGTCTGCACTGAACCTTCCACCATTCCTCAGTCACAGTTGAGGTTTTCCTCACCTGGCACTGGTTCTTGCTGTGGCTTCCACTTATGAGTCTCCTCTCCGAGAAGCTGTGATTCCCTGTATTTGTCTGTTGTCTCTCTAGTCTTGGAGGCTGCTGTTTGCCCTGCGTGCTCCCCTCTCGT